TCAGGGCTAGAATAAGCAAGTTACAAAGACTATAGAAAATTGAATTGAACCCCCACGGAACCCCATCCCAACCATATGGAAATCTTTATCACTCTTTTTACTTTCTTCACACCCCTTTATGTCCATTTTTTGACCCCTTCATCAAATTGTTTATTCATCGCTTCATACTTTTTAATTCATGTCCTTTCTTTTCAATCTGTCTTTAAGATTTGCCATATGATTCTTGATTGCATTTATCATCCATCAATTTTTATTGTATTCAGTTTTTCTTATCTATATTTATTGTTACCAAATTTTATTTACTTTACTTTATTTACTTTTTAATATAGTTTATGGTTACTTGGTTTTATATTTAAATGTTCTTAACAAATTACAATATGATAGCCGTCTTTGTATCTTTGTTGTTCTAGTCCTGATAAAGACCTGCATAGTTGGGTTGAAACGTCGGTTTGAATAAAATATTTTTCACTATTTTATTACTTTTTTTTTTTACCGACACCTCAGATCATCTATTTCCTTATTATTATACTATGGTCAACTATTGAATATTCAATATTTTAAATTTTCTTTATTTTTTGTATGTCAGTTATTTTTAAAACTGTATGACAATCCAGTCAACACTTATACTGTTCAACAATATAATTAAATAATTACAGTTTTTACACTTCAGTTGAGAATAAAACTAATAAAATATAGTGATGAGACTTCCAATTTAATTATTAATTTATGGATAATAAGGACGAGATAAAATTCAGTATATTTTTGTAAAAACCCAAATCAAGGTTATTCAGTAACATTAAGAAACAATTAAGAGTCTATCAATATTGGGATATAATTATTGTGATTCATGAACTTATCCTTCAATATAGTGACAACAATCGACAAACTATCTTTCATTAGTTATAAACTTTATTTATGATACTAGAGAAATTAAAATAATAGTTATTAACAATGATTCTAAAAAGTGGAAGGAAATCAATATAGGATATAGTTTGTCTTTGTTAAGAAATGATGATATATTTTAAACTTTGTTGATAATGAAGTGATAAGCTACAAATTCCTACTGCTTTGAATGTATCCAGCACTTAGTTTATGAAACCAAATGTACTTCATTATTTCATGATAGTTCATCAATATTAGAATTGTTGATTAATTAATCAACAAAACTGGTTCATAGAATTAGAACCACCTTCAATTAAAAAAGTATTTTCTATTAAGTGCTCTAATACATTCGTTAGCTCTTTTTTTAATAATCAATTATTACGCTAAGTTATTGCTATAAACATGTAGGCAGTCGGTCAGCACGTAACAAAGTACTTATCCTTGAATGGGCATCAGTGTCTCAAAAGCGTCTGACACGTTTTGGTGCATCTTCCATTGCTGAGAAATAAAAATATTTTTTTAAACCTGTTATGAAATGTAAAGTAATCATTATTTTTGGAAAAGTTGCCATTTATGAATAATACAATTTGACAGATTAATGTTACTTATTCTCTAAATTGAGATAAATGAAGAATAAAGAATCTTTAATAGGAAAGACATGAAGAAGATATCCATCATTCACAATACCACTTATATGCTGACGATCTCCAAATCTACCTTTCCTTTTATCCTACTGAGATGCTTGAGGCGATGCGAAGACTACAAGAAGACATAAACAGTATTACTACTCGGGTTATGATTTAAAGTTGAACGTTGAGAAGATTAAAGCCATTCTCGTTGGTTCCAAGTATCTTATTAATTCCATTCCATACTATCCTGTACTCTACCTCAATGGTCTACCTATACGTTTCCATACTTCTATCAGAAATATTGGAGTAATTTTCGATCGATACTTGTCCTGGAATAATCATGTCTCCCAAATTATCTGATAATCTATTGCTACCTTAAAATAGTTCCTTGGGGGACAAAAGCATGACTCAGAATCCTCTGGGCGAATGTAAATATTGTATATAGGTATGAATGTGTTTTATATATTTCAATTTCATTTAGCTTTTCTCTATTTATTTATTTTTTTCTCTTGTTTTCTTTATTTATTTATTTTTTTTTTTACCTATGTATGTTAAACTCTTTTTCTTTTATCTCTATTTTAGTTATCATTTGTATGTATATATTGTGTGAATGTTTAATGTAGCCCTAATATTAATGCCCTCCAATGCGGCAGAATGTATTAATTTTCAAATAAAAAAAAACAGTTCCTGAGATTCCGTGATTCTACACCCCTAAAAACCTGCCAACTCTTAGTTTCCTCCCTCATCTTACCTCATTTTGATTATAGCTGCATTGCATATGGTGGACTGTCTGGTGGGCTTGAGATCAGGTTGAAAAGATTAATGATTTGTTTTATTCGATTCATCTTTGGAGTCCCCAGGCGCTCCCACGTCTCCAGTTAGTATGCTGAGTTGAAGTGGCTCAATACAGATTTCCGACGGCAATATTTCCTAGTTGTATTCCTTTTCCGAACCTTTACAATCAAAAAGCCACATTATCTTCTTGATTTGTTTACTCTTTGTTACTTTGTTCATTCGTTTAACACAAGATCCCAGTCCATAAATCTGTTTGTTCCCTCTCATAGAAACATTTCCTTTAAAAAATCCTTTATCATGCGTGCTACCTTTTTTTGGAATTCTCTACCTATCTCACTACGCAAATCCTCTTCCTTAATATCATTTATTCTTCCACCTCCTTAGCAATCAACCTTCTGAATACATGTAAGAATAAAATTTCGTATTAAAAAGCTGTCACTCTCATTCGACTGTAATATTACTGTTACTTACATATCTTCAACATTGCTAATCATAATGTGTTTATCAATATGTACAAATCAATATGTTTACTAGTACTTAATTTATTTGAATTATAAGGTTAGATTATTATATTGTGTTAGCTAAAATTTTTCTTATTTTTTTTTATTTTTTATTATGCCAGACGATTCTTTTTGTACATTAGAATTATTCTAAGGGGACTAAATGTCCCAGAATAAATTTGTTTTTTTTTCTTTCTAGAGTGAGGATTGTATTAGGTTCCTGAGGCATATAACCCAATATTACACCAAGTTGAAGTGACTCTATCCATCCAACCGCCGTCTGTACATCCTTGCTACCTTTCACCACCAAGCCATCAGAACTCAGCGACCTTCCTATATTTTTCACAACCTGCAATTTAAATATTCCGTTCAATCCCGTCCCACTAGATCCCGTATTTCTGGCCTCTACCCACCTCCTCACCAAACTGCTGCGTTTGACAAATCCTTTATAATTCAAGCCGTCTCCACCTGGAAAACCATCCCTCCCGATATTCGACATGTGCAATCAGTTTCCTCATTTAGATCTCTCCTTTTCCTACTTCTTTCCCAACCCGACTGATCTGAAAAGTAGATAAGAGAACTTTGTAAGTTCCCTCAGAAATGATTTTGTTTACTTATTATTATTATATATGTTTGTATTATATATATCTGTATATATTTAGTGTTTATGTTTAATTTTCTTCCAATATTTTAATTTTAATTGAGAATTGTAAATATTTTATTTAATTTTATGACCACACAGACATTTCCTCTGTATCTACAATTTGTCCTAAAGGGACAACAGTCCCAGGATAATAAAAAACTATTTTCATTTCGAATGCGATGTTGATAATCAAAAGTGCTTCATTAGTGTTGAAAGATGGAAAAAGCAACTATAAACGTCATCAGAAAGACCAAAAGGGGTGAGGTTTGGATAACAGTATAAGGGTTTTGACTGATTAAAAGGTTAATGAAGTAATAACTGATTTTTAAACTCATCTTAAAAGGTTAAAACGCCCTTTTTTGGCATAAAAATATTTTTGAAAACAACAAATTGCCTTACTGGCAACGGAAATGGTTTTTAGATAATTAGTTTTATGGATATATTGGGAAAAAAGTGACCATAATACATGGTGACCACACCATAATACATTTGACCTGTCATATTAATACATCACTAACTTGATCGGATCCCCCTCACTCCTCAAATCCTTCCCGCTATCCCCCAATCTTCTCCTCAACAACTCACCTATATTATTCCATGCTACTGTTAAAAATCTAGGTGTTATTTTTGATCAAAACCTCTCCCAAATTTCCCGTCACACTATCTCCACCCTAAAACAGTTCGATCGTCTATGTTATCTTCTTCCATATAAGTCCCGTCAACTCCCAGCTTCCATATTTTCTCTCATCTTCTGTATTTTTACTTTTAATTAACTATTATTGTAAATATTTAATTTATTTATGACCACACAGACATGTATTCTGTACTTATAATTTGATCTAAAGCGATAACAGTCCCAGAATAATAAAATATATTTTTATTTCATTTCACTAACATACATATCTTGTATATTTTTGTAAATATCACTAATATATATACTCTTTATGATCAATAATATTATGGATGGTTGATCCAACACTTTCATCAAAATCCTATTAAGAAAAATTACATTTTACATTTTAATATATCTTATTCTTTCAGTTATTTTAATTTTAATTTTTTATAATTCATATATACAAATTTTCCTATGAAATAATAGTTTTCATTATTTTATATTTTCATAGTTGTTGTTTTTCTTTGCTCTGATGGTGGCCTAAAACTTAGGTCATAAAATCGACAAGCATATAAATCTATCAGTATGTGATTTTCTTTTACCGTTCCTAATATTAAACTATTTTGACGTTCAACCTCTGCAATAAACACCTCTCGCTTTGACAATTTGACACCTTCGAGACAATTTTTAAATATCCCTAACTGTAGTAGACAAATTTAGAACCCTTTGCAACAAACAACCCTCTGGAGGTGAACAGCCAAATTTTCCTCACTGAGATATAAATTTATCCCTCTATATGAAGAAAATAATAGAAAATATTTTATAAAAAAAAAATTCCACATTCTCTTTCTCTTAACCTTTAATCTTTTTTCCACTCATCTGTAACTAGCTCACATAAAAATTAAACTGCTGTCTTATCTTAAAAAAATACATCTTACCTCGCTAAAAAGTAAAGTAAAAGAGAAACGCCTAAATACGCAGTGGCCATGTATGTCCATACATCGATTGAAAATGGCAACAGGAATGAAAATAAATCTGGTGGTTGCTTTGTTGGCTTGCTGTACAAAATGCTGACTCCTAAAATGGTAAAATTAAGTTGAAGCAAATATTATTACAGATTCATTGTTATGACAAAACCAATGAAAATGGTGAAAGAAAATAACTTTATTAATACCAAGATTCATGAACGGCATAGTGAAGTCGACTGCACTCCTTCTTTCATAGGTTATAGTCAAATCACATATAGCAAGGTCAGCTTTCTGAAATTCGATGTTTTTTCACAAACTTGGAAAAATTAATCAATGAGTACTTTTTAAACAATGGACAGTTTTATAAAATTAGGCACATGCTTGGAAAAAATATAATATAAAGATGCAATAGAATTTAAATCATAAAGAACATATAATCTGTCTATTGCAAAAAGTCATTAAGTACACTTTTGGTCGATTTTTAACTGAAGATACGTAGTTGTTAATTTTGATCATATTTATCGATAAAATAACTAATTAAGTGCATAAAAATAACATAAATCCTTTTATACATAAAAAATAGTTTAACTAAGTGCATGATGTTCTGACTTTACAGAGCAAAAAGTGACCATCTGGTACTTAATGACTTCTTTCACTGGATTAATTGATCGGATAGTTAATAAAACCAACTAAGTGAAGTAAGTTTAACTCAGATTCTATGTACTTGCAAGGTTATTAAAGTAAATTTGTATTTTCTTTTACAATGATAGTGTGCAAAAAGTCTTATGTGCGCCGTGATTGCATTTTTTTTCATTGCTATGATGTTAAGTATTTTAATTAATTGTTGAAAATAGAATACATATTTTGAATTGCAAATAACAAAAAATAAATAATCAAAGTACTATTTTAGTATTTTACTGAAAATAAAAGCTAACGATTCTCAACAGTATGAGCTAGACACTGACAGCCCCTGACATAACCACGTATCCATTTTTGTTTGATAACAAAAAAAAATTGCCACCTTTTGTATTTATATTGTTATAACTAGAGACCGGATTTTCATGTTATTGTACATTTTATTCGGATTGGTGTAAAAACTTTTGACCCAAAAATAAATCCGTTTCATTGCACGTTTTTGGTTTTTATTACCTGATATTAGATATTTTACAATTTAGGGGCTAAATTTCAATTTTAACAGTATAAAGTAAAATACTTCCAAAGTTCCTTATCCTTATCCTTATACTTCTAAAGTTCCTTACAAAGTTCCTTATCCTCATAGTTCTGTTATTTGCGGTTCCAAAACATGTCTATATTTATTTTCTAGTTTTCAAACAAACATGTATGAAAATATTTGTAAACTAACGTTATATTGCCGCTTGGATGAATGATCTTTGACAAAACGCTGCCGGTTTAGGTGAGAGACTATGGATTTTAATTAAAGCAAAAGAACTTAGCTTAAAATCCGCTTTTTTTTTTTTATTTAAATTAATCTAAAGCAGTAAAATCAAATCTCAATTTAAAAATGCACCGTTTTTTAATAATATATGATTAATTTTTCGTAAGCTGATTTCTTTTAATCCCGATTTATTTTAGGTTAATTGTTGTTCATTTTAAAATAGAATTAGACTTTTCTCACGTTGTACTTAACTTCAATTCAAAGGCTCTAACTCTTAACATAATAGTAAACAAGCATTAATATTATAAATTAAAAAAAAAACTATGATTTTTGCATGTCATGTATACAATTTCAATTTTGGGGGGATTTTACTGCACGATTTTCCACATTTCAAGTTTTTATTGCACGTTTTTTGGTTTTTTACTGTGCAAAAATCCGGTCTGTATTTATAACCTAATCTTCACCGATGAATTGAAAAGTATCCAAATATTATATTTTGCTATATTATATTATTGGTTTAATAATACAACCTTAACTCTGTTGTTCCCTTATTAAATAATAAAGTTAGTAAATCAATCAAACTTTTCTAAAAGTAGAAGGGAAACAATTGTTTTAAGAAGAACCATGAGGAGTCTTGGTATTATATTAAAAATAACATTCTATGTATTGTATATAATATTATAAATTTTAATACATATTGTAAATATGATATTGTATTAAGTCAATGTTTGTGCAAGGAGGTGATTTAGTCAAGAGCTTGCTCAAGTTCCAAGTGTTATTTCCACTTTATTGGAATTTATAGTTGTTTAAAAATAGCCTACTTAATAGCATTTAAACATAATTTATAGTTTCAGAAAAATAATTACCCTTTCTCTCAATTCCTTGATTAGCCCATTCCATTGCTTGGTTTCTTTGTTGAATGAGCCATAAGCCCCATCAGGAGCCAAATAAAACTTATAATCAAAGTTGAGGTCCCTTGCTATTTCATCGATGAGATCCATAGAGTATCCGGCATACCTTGCATTACCTTCCAAATTTTTATCTAGCTCTTTTAAGTAGGGTTCTCCCTTTGAATAATCAGTAAAAAAAAATAGAAATTTATACAAAAATCAGATTTCAAATTATCATTAAGGATACTCACAAGTCTTGAAACAACAAAAAATGTTTTGTTGCTTATACTTTGATACATTTCTTTTTGCATTTGACTTCCACTTCTGGTATAAGAAATACCTCTTTCTGGATCCCAGATACCGATCTTTCTGAAACCATTTTTAGTCAGCTCGGTTATATCGATAGTAAAAAATATTCTCTGACCTGATTCGTCAAATTTAATAGGTCCACTCATTCCGTCTATTTCCAGCTGAAAAAATAATAAATGTTTTAAATTATTAACTTTAAGCAAATATAAATGAAGTAATTGCAGTACATCAGCAATCTTTAATTGTGCCATTAATTATTTCTCTAAATCATCAGCTCAAATAGTAAATTATTCAGAATAAAATGCAGTTTGAAAAAACAATTTACTTGATTATAAAAAATATATAAAAGTTTAAAGAAATACTTTTTTAATTTCTTCTATAATCAAAGAACCATTTAACCACTTCTGAGGTTGAGAACATAGCAGTGGAGATACTTCGACATCTTCCTGGGTGTCTCTTCTTATTTTCTGAACAGCTTCAGAATATACTTTAACAGCATCGTAAGTCAAGGCAGAATCTGTCTGAAATAATAAATAATAATTTCAATAATACAAACTAGATACAGTAACATCAAGTTTAATTTTCAGCTCAAAGAATCAATAAACAACAAATAATCAAGAACTAAATCCAAGACCATTCCTGGGTAATATTGCTACAAGTACTTTCCCCTTTTTCGTGCATAAAAACTATAAATAATATTGTGCAATTACTTTTAGTGTGTCTGCTGTTATCGGTACTTTATCCTCCAACAGCGATTTGTGGAAAAAAACCCAGTCTTGCACGGTGCTCTGGACATAGTGGCGTTGAGGATTTACAAGCCGAAGGGTAGTTATGTTAGTTGTATCCAATTGCAATTCAGAATAATCCAGGGTATGAGCATCCTGAAAAAAAAATTTAAATAGCTCAACAGCATATAATCTAGTTAAAAACTGTTAATAACACAGGTCTACAAGAAAATAAATTATTTTTTTGGTGTTAGGATTTTAAAATTGATTTTAATTATATTTCGGGGAAGGGTGAATCTAAATATGATTAGTTTTTCTCTATTAACTCTACACTATTAGATACATCCGCTCACTGCCAGCCTTAGAAATTTGGCACCCCCGGACAATGATGTCATCTCTCTCCCTAAAAAAATTAAATTTATTTCTTAAGCTGTTTTATATTATGTCATAATTGTAGTTTATTTCAATCAATGTTTCTCTAATACAATTGTTTTATTTATAGACTAACATTACTTATTTTAATACATTTTGTATTTTTTTTTTATTTCTAACAAGTTGCTAATGCCCCTGAAGATCGGCCGGCACCCCCTAAAGGTCGCTCCTCCTGGTTTGCCTATTAAATACAATTATGTTTTATAGTTTAACCTACTACAAAAGGATATGAATGTGATTTTGAAAATATAAAAATTATTCATAAAGAAAAAATATATTCAGAAGAAAAAGTACTTTTCTGTTATTGCTCCACCTAAAATAAAAATAAGTTTTTTTAAAAATTATAATTCAAATATGTGCCATTAAAAATCTACTATCAGATCTGCAACGCAATAGTAGGCAAGAGAGAAGTCACCAACAAGGTCAAGCTCTACATCTTTAAAGCTGTGCTTCTGCCGACTCTAAAGTATGGCTCAGAGAGTTGGGTATGTATATGGGTATAAAACTGTTTGACTGTCACAGAAATGAGATATTCACGTAGAATGACAGGCAAAACAAGAAAGGATCACATCAGAAATGAGACCATAAGGGAGCAGTTGGCCGTACAAGCACTAAAAACCACCTTCCAGAGATGACAGCTAAGATGGCTTGGGCATGTATGCAGGATGCATGGGTACCGAAACCCAAGAAAGATAATGGAGGCCCGATCAACACGCAAAAGATCCAGAGGCAAGGCGGGGATACAGTAAAATCAATATAACACCAGGCTGGGCACTGAAAAAAAGAAAAACTCGGTGAAATGAAGACGTTGGCGCAGGATAGGGAGGACTGGCTCTGTTGGATAGAGGCTCCTCTACGCTGGAAGGCATCAAAGAGGAAGGAAGAGAAGAAATATGTGCCATGAAAAAATATATGATTTCATGTAAAAAAAAAAAATAATAATAAAATTAGGCATTGTTTCAAAAAATGATGAAGATGAATTTGAAAAAATTGTGGGGCACTGCTAAGTAGAAAAATAAGAACATTCGTGGAACCCACAGAACTTTACTAGATTGTATTTAGCAGAATTCAATTATAAAAGATTGTGGATTGCTGGTTGACTGTAGAGAATAATTGAAGAGAGTAATGGTTGGGGTGGTCAGTCAAAAAAAAAAAAATTATAAAAATAAATAAGTATATTTATTTTTATTCTGGTCAAACAAAAGGATTTCACAAGACTATCTGACCAACTGAACTTATAAACTGGCTGAAACATCGGCAAACATAGAAATAAATATACTTATTTATTTTTATAATTGTTTTTTTTGATTGACCATCCCAACCATTCTTCTCTATAAATCTTCTTCTTCTGCTCTTCTTAATCATTTCCTCTTCTACCACTGAGAGGTGTGAGAAGCCTTCTTGTAGAGCCGAATCCACAACTCTCCATCCATAAATCTTATAAAAGATATCCATTATTTTCTTCTTGTTAATAAATAATTTTTTGTTCTAATTTTTACCAAATATTTTTAATTCTAATTTTATCATATTCTAATTTTTTTAAAACTTAGTTTTTTTACTGATGGGGCAATAACAGAACCGAAGAAAAGAACTTAAAGCTTTAACAATTAAAGGAACTCTGGAATATGTAATGAATTTCAAAACTTATTTAGGAAATATTAGTCAAAATCAAATCGTAGCCTTGACTTCTCAGTAAAACTAATCTTGGATATTTTCTTACAATGATTGGTCATCAGGCTAACAACAAGCATGAGGATAAAACCAAGGCAACTACATCTTTTTTGTAAAACTTGTACATAACATTTACGACAGTGGACTACAAGGAAAAGAAAAATTCTAAACTTTGGTTTCTCATTGAAGAGAACCCCAAAACCACTTCTATAACTGTTATTTCTTCCAAATGAATATTAATGCAATTAAACAGGACAAGTGGAATTATATTCTTGTGGTCTCTTCAAGAGGACTTGTCACTCACTCGGAGGAAGTGCCAATCCCAATATTTCTCTAGCTAAAAGAGTTCTGCAAGGAAGAACATTTAAAATACAATAATAATAATAAATTGCACGGTTTTTAATTTGATAAATAGGTTTAAATTAAAATATTGTTATGTAAAATTTATTAAAATGTTATATCTGAGAAATAACAACGCCTAAGTAAAAACTAAAACCATATTTAAATTCAGGTTGTCAAATTAATATATCAGCAATGAAAACCCCAGCACCAAAACCACTGTTGGCCTGTGTGATATAATTATTGATTACCAAAGAAGTTAAAACATAACTGTGGTAATCTCCAAGCATTTTGACTTGTTTCGCTTGTTTTAACACCTCGATGATTCTTTCCGTTGCACAATCCAAAACAATTCGTGTCTCTGATGTTTTCTGTATCTGCTTTAATAAAGGCCTATAAAAAAAAAAAAAAAAAATCAATTAATAAGAAAAAATGTTGTTTGGTATTACATTTAAGTTTACTTGTTTATATGACATAGTCAGGACTAACATATTGCTGGATAATTCTGAGTGTATAATAGAAAATATATCATCACAAAAATTAACATATATGTCATATCGTCAGTAAAATTTTTTTTTATACATTTTTCATCTTTGAAATAAGAACATTATGTATTTGATGGGGCTATTTTTGTGGCAGTCATGTCTTAATGATCCCTACACTTAAAAAAACTAAAAGGTGAGGCTAAGTGTCAGTATTTTTTAAACATTCTTATGTTTTTCAGGCGGATTTGATAAGTAGCAACATCAATAAATTTAACAATTTGTTAATTATTGTTATTAATAGTTATTATTTTAAATTACAATACTAGATGTTTAAGTTTGTTTACTAAAAATGATCCATAAAGTTTCAGTAAATGTTTTGGGGCACTAATTTTCCAGAACTACAATTTTCCTAATTATCGCTACTGTTAGTGCTAAGCGTCGTAAGTAAAAATTAATTTGTTTTTACAAAACAGCATAAAAACTGATTATCTCTTTATGATTTATTAGTGTAATTACATATTTTATTTCCTTATACTTTTTTTCCATAGTTGCAGAATATTTATTGCAGTTGCAGACTATAAAATGTCACCATTACCACAAATAGAATTAACATAGAAAATTGTTACATATAACCTTTTGCACTAACAGTAGCATTATATTTAGGCTAATAAATATTGAAACATTAATATAAATAAAATATATTAACCAAGTCAGTTGATATAAAAAAATGATTGAAATAATCTTCTAATCTAATCAACATTAAATCAATAACTAATACATTTTATTATTCTTGTTAGCACTTTTTTGTCATGTTTTAAAATGGGATAGGTCTAGAGATTCTGCACCCTTATATTATTAAATCAAATTTATAAAAATTACGATTTTTACAATTTAGTCAATTATTATTGTTACTGTAAAATAATAAATGTTATTAAGATCTTTATTTGTTTGCAATATTTTATTAAAATATTCAGATTGAATATTATTAAATAAATTTTTATTTGATACACCAAGAAGAGTCTCAAGGAATATCAGTTGAAAATCACTGGGTTAAAAACTTACATTATTTTCAAATTAATCCTTTGATGAATGCGACGGTTGAAGTTAAAATTTAAAATACCTGACATCTCCTTCTGGTTCAAGTTGCCAAACAGTAAATGGAACATGCCCTTCTGTGGTGTAAGCTCTTTTATGGGATTTCAGTAGTTCTTGGAGGCGGAGCAGGCCCAAATCGGAATCATATAAAATTGCATAGCTAGTCCAATCCATATCTTTAATTACATCTACCAAAGCCTGGAAATATAGAATAACCAAGTATCAATTTAAAAAAAAAAATTATATAATTTGATCAGTGAAAAAGAATCAATCCATAACAAGTGGTCCAAAATAAGTTAGTTGCTCGAAAATTTTTAATATTTTGTGCATTGATCCTTCTATGTTACTAAAGAATTTTGACCATTTTTATAAATAGTTACCATTCTACTTCAGTATGGACGCATTCAGGAATTTTTAGATATTTCAAAAATATATTTCTTATAAAGATGAAACAAACAACATTTAATATATAATGTTTTAAACAACAATTCGAACAACTCATTCTTAGCACATTTAATTTGTTCCTATTTCTAGCATGATAAAAATTAACTTATAGTTTAACAATAAATTTTTAAAAATACCATTTTCACATCATTCTCTCTATGAGGAGTATTATGAAAAACATATCTTTTTGTATGAATGGTGATGGCCTAATAAATGTTGTAATATAATAATATAAACCAGAATAAATATTCTATTTTCTTTGGACCATATATATTTTGCAAGATTTTCTTTTCTGTTTTCAATAACTACTCAATATTTGTGAACCATGTTATTGCCACTGTAGTCTTATGGTGCCTAAGCTTTTCTCTCAACAAAAAACAAAAAAAAAATTATAAATAAGCATTCTCAATTTTTTAAAAAAATTATATCACATTGTGAGTGATTTGTTACCCTAAATGGTAGCCCTAGTTCTTATTTTATTTATTTATTTATTTTTTGTTCTCCCCTCCCTCAAAAGATCTCCATGGCACCGGGATGCGAAATTGTTATTTTTTTAATCTAATTATTTCATTTATCAGATTGCCGGGCAATGGCGGTGCTGTGCACACGCGTTAGCCCACTCGGCCACGCTGCCCCTATGTAGCCCTAGTTAAGATGAATGGCCTTCTGTCAGAAGATTTTGAGGTAAGAGATGGGTTCAGGCAAGGGGATCCTTTATCCCCTACTGTATTTAATATTGCTTTAGAGTATGCAATAAGGGCAATCCGGTATCAGAGTATACAATAATATCCTGTCCTGTAGGCATTGTTTATAATAGGGTGACACAGCATCTAGCTTTTGTAGTAATAATTGATGTCGTAATAATGGCAAGAAATAGCATTAGCCGGAGGTTTGAAGAATTTGAAACAGCAACAAAAAAACAAATAAATGAGAAGACTGTTCCACATGCGAACTTCAAGAACACCGAGTGGAACAGAGGAATGTGTCACGTTAGATAATCACACCCTGAAAGTGGTAAAAATCTTTAAGTATTTAGGTGCTCTAGTTACAGAAAGTAAGGATATGATGGAAGAAATGACAGCAATAATGGCTGCTGAAAATAGATGCTGTTTTGCTAGGAGAAAGTTGCTAAATTATAGCTCCCTCTCACATAGGACAAAAATCTCAGTGTACGAGAAAGTTATAAGACTCATCGTCATCTATACTTCTGAGACTTGGGTAATCTCTAAGGGCCCAGCAGATATAATTATACAGGGTGTTTCGTAATTGCATGGCACTATTTTAGGTATGCGTTCACTAACACAAAATAAACAAAAAAATTCATATTAACATATATCTCAAACTCATTTATTAAACAGATGTCAAAGTTTAAAGATTTTTTATTTATTATTACTATTTATTTATTATTATTATAACATTTAAATTAACTGTTCAAAGGGGCCTCCGTTTTGTCGAATGCAACATTCAGCAAAACGAATCCATGCTTCTCTGGCCCTTTGTATAGCATCAGTATGGTGCTTGATAGTTACTGTGGCCGTGTCACAGTATTCACTCACACTAAAACACACAGAACTAGACAAACAGATAAGCAACTACTGTCATTGCTTATCGTTCATTTGTTTATCAGGTGATTAAAACCTGTTATTTAGTATTAAACACGTTTAACTTTGTACAGTCTGTCTTAATGTAGTAAATAAATAATAAATCTTTAACCTTTGATATCTGTTTAATAAATGAGTTTGAAATATATGTTAATAAGAACTTTTTTATTTAATTCATGTTAGTGAACACATACCTAAAATAGTGCAGTGCAATTACGAAACACACTGTATATAATCTTAATTATGGCATTGATAACCAACAGGTTTTACGCCTTGGCTATAATAACTAACTAAGTCAACATCCAAAAATGTCTTGAGTTTCGTTGGGTGGTGAAAGGCACCAGACTACTCCATGTTTAAATATTTGTGGACATCAATTTACATAATATTCTACCAAGGTGCTTAAGTAGATGTGCAAGAACATTCTCTTTAATTTTTTTAAAAATTAATTTTTTCATATTAGGAGTAGCAGTAAATTAAAAGTGCTAAAAATAAGTTTTTCAATTTAAACTGTTACCTTTAAAAACGTTTAAAAATTGAATAATGTTATTTGATCTTTTTAAGCCACATATTTTTCTAATTATTATTGATAGAACCAAACAATATTGTCTGCCACTAATAAACTATGCTTGAATAAAAAAAAATTTAAAATGAACCCCTTATCCAGCATCTTTGGACCACTTATGAAATGACACAAAATTAATTATTGATTATTTTTATTGTTGAAAGGCATTACCTTAGATAATATTTTGGGATCAGGGTAGAGATTGATTGCCGATTTCATTGGCATTGCTGAGACATCCCAGAAAGTCTTGATCAACGGGATATCCATTGTGTCACAGAGGGATTCTGTGATCCCAACGGCCTCTGGTGAGTGCAGGCCAAAGATTCCTCCGATACCTTCCATTGCCAGGTCGCAGACTGCTCGAAAGGAAAAATTAATAATCATCAGTATTATATAAACAAATAAAAGTCAAAGATTGTTAACATAATTCGAGGCAGAGTTCCTATGAAAAGGGTAACATTAAAACGGCTCGACCATGTTATGAGAATGAATGACTAAAGAGTGGAAAATACATTAATGTCTCAGACCATAAGAGCTCTTGGAGGCTGAAGGGCCAATAGAAGGGTGGTGTGAGGAAAAATCTTCGGTAATTAAGGATCTCGGTGAGCCATGCACATGATAGAATGAGATGATTGAGCAGGACAAAGGCAGCCTCAGGGGCTAGTTGTGACGACAGAAGAACTCAGTCACTCATTATTAAATACATGATTGTATTTAATAATAATAATTATTAAATACATTGGAATAAAACTAAAAGGTCTATTCGAATTCCTCTCAATTATCAGCATTTAAAAAAAAAAATTTGAGTACCTTACAGTCCGTGGTACAGATCTCTTTTTATCAAATTATTACCATCCGAAACTTCATTAATAGCTTAGCTTCATCTCATCATAACCTACAACTAATTTATTTATGAAAACTCTTGGAATTGGGGCATTTTCAATCTGAGAGTCACAAACTTTGTCTATTTAATTAGGTACTAAAAACTAGTACATACCCATTTCCACTAGGATTGTAAGATAATCTGATCACACAAAACCGAAACAAAGGTGGCTTACAAAAATATTAGCCCATTTGGCTTATACAACTTTGTTATTTTGACATTTTTTTTAATAAATGAATGAATGAAAATAATTTTATTATTCAGGGACTACTGTCCCTTTAGAAAAAAATATAAATACAGAATATATATTAACATTCTGGCGTGTCCATGAAATACAATTATGTATTTATAGGATAATTAAATAAAAGTACAGATAATGAAAAGATATAAAAACGTACATAAATATAAAATAGACAGAGAAACCAAAATAAATAAACAAAATATCAATAAATATCAAAATATCTAGATAGGGTACTTTAAGATTCTTACGACTTAGATTTTTAAGAACATTTCATAATCAACCGGATTGGGACTGCAGTAGGTATTTGAAGAGGAGAGATTTGAAAGAGGATCCTGACTTCGCGTGTCGAATATCAGAAGGGATAGAATTCCAGAGGAAGACAGCTTGAATTAAAAAAGATTTGTCAAATGTAGCAGTTCTGTGAGGAGGAGAGAGGTGCGGGATCTGGTGGGACGGAATTGAAAGGATCATTTGAATTGTAGGATCTGTAGAATATAGGCAGGTCGCCGTGTTCTAATGGCTTAGTATAGGAAGGTAGCAAGGAAATACGGTGACAGGATGGATAAAGACACTTCAACTCGGCATAAAACTGGGTGATATGTGTATTCCTTGAGCTCCCAAAGATGTAGCGTATTAAGCAATTCATTAGACGTTTAAGTTTAGCTTCGACTTCTCCTGAGAGTCCACCATACACCATAAAGCCATAGTCGAAGTTGGGAAAAACAAGAGATGAAACCAGGAGTTGATGGGTTTTGAATGGAAGAAGATAACGTAGACGGTTAAACTGTTTCAGGGTGGAAATAGTACAGCAGAAAATTTCGGAGAGGTTGTGTGGTTTCCAGGAGAGGGTTTGATCGATCGGTAACGCCAAGATTTTTAACGGTAGTATGGTAGGAGATAGATGAGTTGTTCAGGAGAAGATTGGGAAGTACTAAAATGGATTTAAGCAGTGAGGGAGATCTGATCAGGATGGCTTTTGTTTTCTCCGTATTTAATGCGAGCTTATTAATGTTTGCCCATGCGCATATTCTATTGATGTCTTGCTGCAGTTTCAGGATAGCATTAGAGGAGTCAGCCGCATTTTAGGGGTGTAGATCACACCAAACAGCTCAATATTTTTGAAGGTCATCTTTTTTCTTGAATTTGTGCTAAAATTATCTTATGATTCAAGTGCAAAGCAAATGGGTATTTACGAGTTTTTAACACTTAATTGAATAGACAAAGTTTGATGATCTCCAGATTGAAAACATCCCTATTCCGAGAATTTAATAAATAAAATATATGTAGGTTACAATGAGGTGAAGTTATATACGAAGTTTCAGGCGGATGTTAATAATTTGATGAAAAAAGGGACAGACTATTAATTGTTTACTAATAAATATAACATAAATCATGTTTAAAAAACAGATGTTAATACCTCTTCGACTGGTATTGTAGCTGTCAAAAGATAATACATGTTCCACATACGGCTCCAAAATTAAGCTATCTTCAGGAAATATTTTGTCTTGGTTCACATTGTTAACATTTTCAACAGCTAATTTAAACACTTTTTCTTGCTCTGTTTTGTCAGCATTGAAGAAACCAGCTGTAAAGACAAATATATTCAAAATATAGTAATGATAAACATTGGTATTGCCCTGTAATAATGTAGTTATGACTCCATGTATTTGTTATTAAAACTAATATTTACTATTATTATTACTATTTACTATTCTATTTTTTTTTTACTGAAGGCGGGAAATGCTTGTTATTTTTCTGTGACAAAACTACTTAGTTCGCGCCTCTTGTCCCGGAACTTAAAAATTAGAATCTATAAAACAATTATCTTGCCTAGTTCTTTATGGATACGAAACTTGGCCGCTTACATTAAGGGATGAGCAGCGTCTTAAGGTTTTTGAATATAAAGTATTGCGTAGAATATTTGGACCGAAGAAGGATGAGTCAACCGGAGAGTTCAGACGGTTACACAACGCCGAATTGCGTGAACTGTATCCGGGTAATATAATTGAGGTAATTTCATCGCGGCGAATCAAATGGGCTTGTAAAGTTGTTGGGCTTGGTAACGAGAGAATTCCTAAAAGGTTAATATTTGCTGTGCCGAATGGTTCGCGTCCGAGGGGTAGACCGAAGCGAAGTTGGGAAGATTGCATTAAAGCCGATCTGAAGGGACTGGGCTTGGACGGTGAACGCTGGAGGGAGGTGTGTAATAAGCAATTGGTGGTGTCGGCATCGAACCTCGGGTTCGCTAAGCCTTTTATTATTATTATTATTTGTTCTTTTAGTGAAGTTTAAAAGCTCTTTAAATGGCTTAAAGGCAATAATATCCAACAAAAAAAAAAAAAAAAAATTAATGTTTTTAAATCAGAACCGTTTCTATATCCATCTACTGCAAGAGTGAAATTCCCCTTACAAGAAATGAGCATAATTTAAGTTTAGGTTTAAAAAATATTGAACCACAAAATAAAATTTAACGAATCCTTACAAGATTCATATTCTCAAAAATGAATTATTTTATTTTAATGCAGTGATTATCAAAATATAAATTCAAGAGCCACAGCTATAAAAAAAAAAAAAAAAAAAAAAAAAAAAAATGGAGTGAATCAATGAATGTGTATGTGAGAAAAATTATTAGTAAAAACATTTTTTGTTTTTTGGCATTGGAATTTTCCATACAGCTAGTATAAACTTATGTAGTTTTGTTCCTATTGTTTCCAATTTCCATTCTAAATATATCTGTTTATTGAATACAATTATAAGATATTTATAAATTCCTCAGGCTTGCTCAATGTTAGGAGTTTTTTGTTTCGGTTACATTTATCATAGTTAGATTAATATTTAATTCCAATATGTGCTATAGGTATACATAGTCCAAGATTTGTTTTAAATCTAGAAAAATTTGAATATTTTTGGTAGGTTCGATCCAAAGAACCATGGCTTGTTTAGAATTTGCGATACATTGGACTGATAAAATCTGCCTGTGGGAGACTTGTGATAGTAAAGAATATTTTATCTTAGTTTAAAACATTAAAAAATAAATGAATAGTAATTAAAATCAAGAAAACCTAATATAATAAAATACTAGCAGCTAATAGTTAGCTTTTAGGCTGACTTTCGAAACAATTACAATTATATCTAACAGAAAATAGCAATTTTTTGCTAAAGGAAACATGCATGCGAATTGAAAATTTATAGTTTTAGGAAAAGAACAAGAACTTGATGATGCCATTCAATATTTGATTTAACCTTTTATAAAAATCAAATTAAGCTTGTCTAAAATCAATACTATGCAGTTTTGTAAAATTTATAAAAATGGATACAATGGAATTGACTCTTAATAACTCATATTAAATTTCTATATTATGTATTTAAATGTTGAATTTTCATTAGAATCAATTTTCCGAGCATCCTATAAAATTTATATAAAACATAAGACAATTCATAACATATTATTTTATTTAAATTTACAACAACCTATTTAATAATTTTTTATTTTTTTTATTTAGAAGCCACAAGATTTGTAAAATACTAGAAAAATTCTATGGTAAACAAATAGGTATTAATATTTAATCTTAATAAATTTAATTTAAGATCAAGAGATATTCAAAATAATATAAAAATATAATTTTCACAATAATTGCAAACTTGTCACATAATATAAAAAATGGGATACAACTTTTATTTTAACTTAATTAGTATTTCAACACACTGGGTCATTTGACAGTCTGTGTTTAAAAATAAAGAGATATAGTCAGCACCTCCATTAATTGGAAACTATTTTTATTGTATTGCTTTTTTAATTCTCTTTTTAAAATTTGTTTCAATTCTATTAACATATTTAGGCAAAATTGAAGTTTACTTTTAATTTCTAATCAACCGACATAATTATATCACTTGAAATAAGATGAAAAACTGTAGTAATAAAAAAAATTATTATTAATTTACTGTAGATGGAATCTACATTTTCCAAAGATGAATAAATTCAATGATAAAATCGAATAACATATGAACAATATTAATAATGCATATTATATAAAATTAAAAAACATTGCTTCACTAATTGATGTTAATTATAAGATGAAGTACAATACATAAATATTTTATGGATTGAAATTGAATAAATATTATTCAAGGTATTTGTGAACTGTTCTCTTCCTTAGAAATTTATTTTATTTTTCATTAAATAACATTTCATCATCATTTGCATGCCTTTATGTTCCGTTTCAAAGATTTTTTTATTCTCATCTTCAGGGATACATTTTATTCTAGACAACATATTATTAATATTCTAATACATCTGAAATTCATAAATACGATATATTATAATTTATTTTATTTTAGTATTAATGTTTTTATTTATCTCAAAATGAACATTAATTATACTTCCTTCTTTTTAATTAATATCTATATACATTATACTTAGTCTTAATTTAAAAATCTATATATTAACACAGAAATATCGTACTCGTTATATTATTAATATACTAATCATGTATGTGTTATCTAGAATAATATGAATCCCTAAAGATGAAGATAAAAAAATTCTTGAAAGGTTGGAAAATGGAGGCATGTAAGTGAAGACAAAATATAACTTAATATAAACAAATTTTAAAGGAATAGAACAGTTCAAAAATATTATTAAAGATATAAGATAAAAAAAACGGTAATATACAAAAATATTTTTTTTTTGTCACTTAAATTTACATTGCACCTGTTACACAATAAATTAAATTTATGTAGAAACTTTTTCATCTTTAAGCAATGGAGGCTAAAGATATTTTGGAACTAAACCAATTGTTATTAAAATCTCTTCTCTACAGAAGTAAAGAGTCTAAGAATATTAAATAATATTAATGCTCATGACTTACTAAAACTATTTGATTTTATATAGCATCTATTTAAATATTAAAAATATTATCACTTTAAATTGAAATTACAAATGATGATCTATATTTTTTAACTTGTTAAGTTTGATATGTCAAAATATTACGTTTAAATACAGCAATAAGCCATAACAATGAATAATAATGAATGACTATTTTTAAAAATTAAAATTGTTAAAATGTATTCATAGGATTTGAAAACTCAACTATAGAAAACAATTCTTCATAGAATTAATTAACGGTGTACAATTTTTTAAAATTATTATTATTATTATCAAATAAATTCAATTTTATTTTCTTTAAAAGAAAAACATATTTACGTATGCAAACATTTTAGAAAATAGTGTCAATGCAATAAATATTTATATTACCAATAGGTATCGTTGATGAAGAAGCACTATTAAAAACGATAAGCAGTAATAAACATTTGAAACCGTACATAATAACAAATAATAAGACCCTAGCTTATAGAATAGCTAGGGTAACTAGCCACACCGGTCATATCATAAATAGATGGGGCACAATGCCAGTTCACTGTTGTTCATTAAGATTTTCCCAATGTTTTTGAGAATTCTGTTGGTTTTGCCTATATTAATAGAAAAAATACTGTCAACATTATTCCTATTGGAGGATCTAAAAATATTATATGGGACAGCCTACAGCATAAGCACAACTTTAATCAGAATAACTGACAACCTCGAGGCTACGAATTAAGATTTTTTGGGATAAATTCACAATTGTTTAACAGTACAACGCAAATGAATTTTCTTTTTTTCTCAAGGTGGAAATAATAATCTGAAATATTAAAAAAAAAAATAAACCTTTTCACAATATTATGCCCTTAGACAAATAAAAAATAATCAAATTCCAAAATTAGTAATATCTGTTTCAATTTTTTTTTTTTTTTAATCTATAGTTTAGGAAATAAATTATTAAGAGGTAAAACAATTTCTTTAAAAAATTAAAATCACATCTTTTTTTAACTGTGTGTAAAAGTAATCCCCAGAATCTTCTGTAATCTTTTTATGAAATTCTCTGACTTTTCTAGGTTTACGAGGTCTATCATGTCAACAAAATAGTTGTAATTAATAATGAATTTATATAATTTGAACTACATTTTATATTTCAGATAGTAGTTTCTTTGTAAGTAGCACAATGAGAACGTCCATATAATATATTTATTAGATGACATTTTAGGGTTGTATTGTCATTTTCAAAAACTTCCCAATATCACAATTTAATACTTCACATTAATTTTTATTGCACATCTTTATGTAACTGTCAAATTAAAAAAATGTTAAAATTACACTGCAGATATTTTCTAACAAAAGACAATTTTTTAAATTTTTTAACAATTTTTTCACAAAAGACACAAGCTTTGAGCTAAAGACAAATTTGTGTCACTTGTTAGGAATAAAAAATTAAATAACAAAGCATATAAGAAGAATTAATTTTAGCCTATCAATAAAGCAACTGAATTAGAGAGATATTGATTGAAATAAAATTTAAATTTTGTCATTGGTTCCAAGCCCCTCATTAGATCCCACACTGACTTTCCCATATTACACCTTAATGACCAGCCAATTTCCTTCTACTCTGTTAAAAATTTAGGATTTTTCATAGATCAAACCCTCTCCTGGACCTACCATATTTCTCACATTTCCCGTCGGACAATTTCTACCCTTAAACTATTTCATCGTTTCCGCCATCTCCTACCTCAACATATCCGTAGACTCCTAATCTCCTCTCTCATCTTCCCCCACTTTGACTACAGCTGTGTGGTGTATGATGGCCTCTCGGTGGAGCTCCGTGATAGACTGAAAAGATTAATGAATAGCTGCGTAAGATTTGTTATTGGTGCCCCGAGGTACTCCCATGTCTCCCACCACTACACTGAGTTAAGGTGGCTCTTCCCCTCCTTCCGAAGACAATACTTTCTAGGTACGTTCCTCTACCAAATCATCAACAACCATCGTCCTTCTTACGTCTACAACCTTCTCCAGTTCAAATCCTCAGTCCATTCCCTGTCCACAAGATCTCGACCTTCTGACCTTTACATGCCTTCTCACAGATCTGCCTCATTCCAAAATTCCTTTATTGTTCGCTCTGTCAATTTCTGGAATTCCCTCCCTATCAAAATTCGACATTCCCCCTCCATATCCACATTCAAATCCCTCCTATTCCAATTCCTATCACAAAAACAGTCAGATACTTGCTAACCATTCGAGCGGATTTCAATAGAGAATTTGATACATTTTTATTTTTTTAATTCTTTATTTTTTTCGGAAAAGTGTATACTGGTCTATAAGAGCAAATAGCTTTAAGTTTCTTGTCATAGTATTAATGGTTTTGTATATAGTTTAGTTTGTTTTGTATATAGAATTTTTACCTTATATTTTTTTCACATTATTTCTTTTTTTTTGATTTATTTTATTTTGGCCAGATGTAATATTTTAATTTGTTCTATTTTGTTATTCTCAAGGGACTGTGTCCCAGAATAAAGTTATTTTTCTATTTCTATTTCTATTTCTAAAATTTTATAAAAATAAATATGAATAAATATTACTAAATATTAAACAGCTTAAGAAATCAATTTCATTTTTTTCAGAGATGACATTGCCTGGGAGCACCAAATGTCTAAAATATTGTTAAAAGCTATATCAATAATGAGTATTTTTTCAAGAAACTCAGTTATATTTATGAACTTAATAGATATCTAATGAAGTTATTTATTTCCCTATATAGAAAATAAATAGGCTTAATATAATTAATTTATGATTACTTTGGAAACCATAAGGCCACAAAAATATTCATTCCATGATGATAAAATATGGTGGTAATTGAACAGAAGTAGTAGGGTAAGCACACTAGTGAAGAACATAGCTAAGGAAATTGGTGTCATTTTTGGCTTATGCCACCATAATTATTATAGTTATAATTGTGGATTGATGGTTGACTGTAGTGAATAATTGAAGAGAAGATTGGTTAGGGTCTTCTTTATTAATACTAGTAATTACTTCTGAAGCAATAAGGGCCATACTACTGAGAGAAACCGGACTCTAGATCATCATGGAGGATGATTTCCCTCAGGTAGTAAGTAAGCATAACTACCCATACTAAGAAGCATTCGTGTACGGGTGGAAGGAAGTAGTCCGGGATGATCACTTCAACCTCCACTAACTAAAAAAAATTCAGTTGCAGATATCTCCATTTAAAAAAACAATATCTTTTTGCATTAGGGACATCCCGAAATTCAATTGCTCTAGTAATGGACAGAGGGTCGGTACCAGTAATAGACATACCTCAGAAAAATTCTAAAATCCGTATTTAACTATAAGAATAACAATAAAGACTTTCGCTTTCAACGTTCAACTTTAGCATTCAACTCTGTCTAATATACAATATGGAATACTGTAATCGGAAAAAAGGAAGTGGGGCAGGATGCGAAGCTCCATCTGTTCAAGTCTGTCTTTCTGCCGGTACTTCTTTATGGAGCAGAGAGTTGGATCCTGAATGAGAGGCTACAAAGCCGTGTTACTGCCACTGAGATGAAGTGTCTTAGAAGAATTGTGGAGAGACTGTCCAAAATGACAGGATCAGGGAGGAGCTAAAGATACGCCCCGTGCTAGAAACTCTGGAGAGGAGACAGCTGAAGTGGTACGGGCATGTATGTAGGATGGACCACCACAGAGACCCAGTTAAAATCCTAGAGATGAGGTCGATGGGGAGAAGACCAAGAGGGCGACCAAGAACCTCATACGTTAGTGATTTGGAACGAATTGAAAGACGAAGAGGGAAGACCCTGGAAGAGATGAGGAACCTTGCCGGGAACAGAGATACATGGAACCGATGGCTGGAAGCACCCCCACGCTGAGAGGCAAATGGGTGGAAGAGAAAGAAGAAGAAGATGGACATTCCAAAATTCAATTGTTCTAGTAATGGACAGAGGATCGGTACCAGTAATAGACATACCTCAGAAAAATTCTAAAATCTATATTTAACTATAAAAATAACAATAAAGACAACATAAATGTTCAACTTTAGCATTCAACTCATAGCAAAACTGTTAGGAAGGTATGAAACACACTTATCTCAAGAACACTATAGGAACAACATTGATAGTCATTTTGAAATTTTCTTTTGGGAACTTTGTTCATACAGTTGTCAATGGAGGGCATTGTTCTTCAATCTAGAAAAAACTCGGACCTTTAAATCAACAAGGAAGCTTATTATTTATATTTAAAGTCCAATCAGTCCATAACTGGTGCGTTCATACTACATTAAATGTAATACTACACCAACTTGAAATATGCATGCAGCAAATAGAACATACAACCATTCGAGATCTAAAAAATATTGATTATAATAAATGAAAAATTATATCAAGCAACCATAGTCAAAATGAGTGAAAGCAAGAGAGGGACCTAGTTGCTGGCATTATTAAAAGGTTCACAGAATTTAGGGAACTGTTTCAGTATGATAATGGATTTCCAGGTTAACTCAAATACATGACTACTTCTAGATGGATGTTGGACAAATGTGACTTTAGGTTTTTGACACAGTTAAAATAATAATATTTAAACTAAGAATCTGGTGCTTCTGGATCTTATTAAGATAATTCACAAACCAAAATATCCTATATTGGTTGACATGATAGATTGAATATATGTGTTACTAGTTATAATGTCAGTTACATGTACTTTCTCATAATTTGTGTTTTGACCCAATAAACTTGCTTTATCTTTTCAAAAAATCTAAACATTTTTCTTCAATAAGAACAAGTGAATATAACCCCATACCTCTCAATGAGGAATCCTCCAAATTCTCAAAAACGAAAATCCAAATTATTGAAGATTGAGTGTAGTTTTATGCCCCTCTCTCCACCACAGCAACACAACTTCCTTGCAATGTTATCACATTTTGTTAGAGATTGTTTTTAATCATGAAATAAATAATTTTCCATTCTGGGAATAGAATGTCTATTAGTACAAGCGCCTCCAATAAGCATAATAAGTCTGTTCAGTTTACAGTAAAGAAAGAAGATAAAATAAAATAATAGATCTAACTTCATATCTTCTTCTTCTTTGTCTTCCTCACAATGCCATTTCTAGCGTCCAGGAGCCTCTATCCAGCGCAGCCACTCTTCTCGGTCTCTGCTCAACCGCTTCATTTGGTTGAAGGATTTGCCTCTTCTACCTCCGATCCTCTCCATGAACTCCTGATATCCTTGAGATTCTGGGACGCCCTCGTGGCCTCTTCCCTATGGGTCGAGCCTCTAATATCTTTATAGGGTCCATGTCCTCGTTCATGTGGCAGACATGTCCAAACAACCTTAATTGCCTGTTCTCTAAGGTGGTTTTGAGTTCAGGCACTTCCAGCTGTTCTCTGATAGTTTCATTTCTAATGCGATCCCTCCTAGTTTTGCCCATCGATCTTCGTAGGAATCGCATTTCCGCTGCTGTTATGCGACTATAATGTTTGTCCAACATAGTCCAACTTTCTCCGCCGTAGGTGAGAATAGGAAGGTATGCAGTCTTATAGACGTGCATCTTGGTATTTTTATCCACTTCACGGTAGCTGAGGATACTGCTAGCGATCTGGTGATATACTTGATTCGTCTTAGATATTCTATACGAAATCTCAACATCTATGTTACCAGCGTTAGTAATTATGGTACCTAAGTATGTGTACTCCTTTAGTACCTCAAGAATCTCTAAACCAATTGGACGTCTTCCTCTTCTTCTCCTGCCATAATCATCACTTTACTTTTGGAGGCATTTATTTGCATACCTTTCTTCAGCAGCTCTTCTTCCCATTCTACCAGTGCTTGCTGTAGTTTCATCTTGGAATCGGCGATGAGCACAATGTCATCCGCATATAAAAAGCTCTGTACGAGGACAGTTCTCATATTCCAGTTTCCAATTGTAGTCCATGCAGTCCGACGCTTGAAGATTTTATGGATCTCGTCCATAAAGTTTATAAACAGGAGGGGGCTTAAATTATCTCCCTGTCTGACTCCTCTCGCAATTGGGAAGGGTTCTGATTCTGTGCCATTTATCCATATCAATAACTTCACATCAATAAATATATTTAATAGAAATATTAAACATTTTTTATTATAGAGTAAATCTAATCCACTAACTATATGAAATAATCAATGTCGGGTAATGGTCTCTCCCACTATCTTTCGCTAATTTCCTCGATCTTCTCCTATCGCTATCTAATTTCTACCACTAGGATCTTAATAACAATATTTGTCAATTCATCATCGTGTTTTAACTTTGGTCTTTTAGGACAATTTATTTTTAAAGAGATTGTTTTAGCAGAAGCTTAGGTATCTGTGCATCGCCCATTCTGTCAACATGTCCGGCTCACCATATTTTTATGACCTTTAGCACACCTGTTTCTTGAAAAATGTCGTAAAAGTCGATTTTATTATCAGAATCAACTTTGATCAGTCTCAATTGTTCTAAATATTAAGAAGAGAATCTTCCTCTCTTATATTTTCAATTCCCATTCACTAATCTTTGACGTAGTCCATGTTCCTAATCCATAAAATAGAATCGGTCGTAAAAGAGTTTTAAAAAGACTTTGGTCTTTCTTAACAGCTTATATCTGTGGGATAGTGGATGATGAACTCTGTAATTTCTGCAGAAGTGCACCGGAAACTGCCCTTCAGTTTATAACGGAATGTGACCGATTTGCGTCACTCGGATACAGACTTCTGGAAGCAGGCAGAATCCAAGTATGCAAAGGTGCCTCCATAAAATGCCTCAATCTTTTGAACTTCATTAGAAGAACAAAAATGTTTGAGACAGAATAGAGGTATAATAGACAACCACTGTTAGTATCAAATTTTGGGGTTGGCAAAAAGGACCAAAAGGCCTTGCCGGACTAAGTCTCCGTACCAGTACCAGTAATAGCTTATTGCATCTGAGGAGACACCTAAGGCCAAAGTAGCATTTGTCGACAACCGAAATATTTATTAAATAGTTACTAATTACTAAGCACTTCAATAATAGTAGCAGTAATTGTTTCAATATCGCCAGAAGCTGCGTTATTGTATTAAATATTGTTCCTTTCGTGTGTATACCTGAATTTTATTTAAAAAATCATTATTACTTACAAAATATAGGATATGAAAGAAAGGAAAATTGTCTTTATATCGTATACCTCCTTTTTTTTACGAGAAGCATAAAAATAATTTTAAAAAATTCTCCTACATAACATCAGCCCGCTTAGTTGCTCTAAAAGCAACACTTCTTATTGCTCTCCTTCTTTCGACCTCGATGGTATTTCTATATTTTCGAACGCGATGCAATGTATAACAACTGATAGCAGGTTATATTTCCAACCCTGTAGATGGATTTAGTTTTATAAAAATTTTAAGTCTAGAGAGTTATAAACAACTTTAGTTTATATTCATTTGTTTGTCACTTGGTAATTTAAAGGGATAGATATTGTGGTCTTGAATAATATATAGTAAGTTCTAAGACTTAACCATCTTAACATTTCTAAAATGATTGAAAATAAACAGTTTGGTTTAGAAGAAGGTGTTAGGAACTTTATATTAGATGTCAAATACGAAAGAATTCACAATGACATAGTTATTGAAGCAGTTAAACTATTTAAAGATATAATTGTTAATGTTGAATGGACTACTGCTAATGATCTGCTTCAGATTATCAAAATTCAAGGTAAGAAAATTGCAAAGAATATGCCTCTGAATTCTTCTGTTGGAAATATTGTGAGACGAATTTTGAAAATAATTCGAGAAGAATATTTGTCACTTCTAAAGAACAAACAAGATGAATCTCAAGAAGAATCATTACACAAAATTGTGACAAGTGAAGGACAGAGTGACGATTTTAATAAAAATATCCCTCAATTAAAACTTGCAATAATAGATCATTTGAATGAATTTGAAACTGAACTTGAAGGTATTGCTGACAATATTGCTCAACAGGCAAGGGAACACATACATTCTAATGAAATAATAATGACAATTGGGAATTCGGAAACTGTGGAAGCTTTTCTCAAGAAGGCGGCTAAGGATAGAAAGTTTGAGGTAATAGTTGCGGCTTGTTCTCCTTCTAATCAAGGTCACGATTTAGCTTTGAATTTAGCCAAGAGTAAAATACAGACAACGCTCATACCCGATTCTGCTATATTTGGTATAATGTCGAGGGTTAATAAAGTTATAATTGGGACACAAACAGTGATGGCTAATGGAGGTTTAAGAGCAGTCTGTGGGACTCATCCACTTGCTTTAGCTGCTAAACATTATTCTGTGCCTGTAATTGTTTTAGCTCCACTCTATCAGCTCAGTCCTCAGTATCTGTGTTCGTATGATCAAGATTCATTTAATAGTTTTATTTCTCCAGAGGGAGTTCTCAATTATGCTGATGGAGATATTTTATCTAAGGTTCACGTTTACAACCCTGTGTTTGATTACGTACCTCCAGAATTTGTTACATTGTTTATATCTAATACTGGAGGTCATGCTCCTTCTTATGTATATAGGTTGCTTAGTGAATTGTATCATGCTGATGATTATGAATTATGATGAGTATTTTAATATATGTTTGATTATAAATATATTTGTTTTATTAAAAATAAATATATATATTTTTTCAGTACCTTAATAATAGAATACAGACTACATCTGATTTTGCTATACTTGATTTAATAGTAAGATACAGAAGTAACCCTCTCGCTATTGGTAAATTGTACTCCACTATTGTTGCTGTTGGTAAAGGTATGGCCACATGACAAACATTTCCCATGAAGGTGGCTTTACCTTTAAAAACATTACGTATTTAAATCAATTTCGTAATCCATAGTTATAACCAATTTATTCTAACCACAGTGGAATGTTTAAGATATATTTAGTGCATCTGCACAAAATAAATTTAAACTCCTCCAGGCTGAATTTGGATTGTGTCACAAGACTCGAATGTATTGAATTTTTGTTTTCTTTATTTGACCAAATTGTTGGCAAACTGGACTTGTACAGATGTTCTGAAGATAGGGACGATAAATAAATGAATACTTTATTTTACCGGCATTGAATGAGACTGAGTAGTAGCTGAGTAGAAATGAAAAATGAAAACCCCAAACCAATTAATAAAATAGATACAATTTATTCCAAAACTAAAAATAAAGTACCTACCGATAAATTAACAAATATTATTTATAAAATAAATTGTAAAAATTGCAACAACAAATCATATTTTGGACAGACATCACAATGGTTTGAAAAATTGCTTAAACAACATAAAGAAAATTGTAATTAAAAAAAACAAAAATTAAATTAGCTACTGGACTCTCAACATACTATGAAGAACAAAACATAAATTTGATTTCAAAAACTCCAAAATCTTGCATAATACGACTTGCATAAGAAATACGAATAAACGTTGAATTAAGGAAGCAATATACATAACTAAAAACTCAGTAAATAATCATACAGACGTGGATAATATGAATACATTTTACGTGAGTGCAATTGAAAAAATCAAAATTTGCAAAATAAATTAGCTAATATTACTTAAAATAGGTCCACATATAATATTGGGAAACATCATTGTATATGTTTATAATAAATAGTCTTCCCCTTCTCCTATAAGAATAACCAGTCACTGAATAGAAATGAGACGGATAACATGTGGGTGACACATGATAAGGTAATTTTTACTTATTTGAATCATTTAATAAGAAAGAATTGAGTAATAATAATGTTATAAAATAATTAAAGGTGGACAGGCAAGAATAAAAAATGTTATTATGAGTAGACGCATGCAATTCGCATAAGTGAAAAGGATAGGTACATGATGGGTATTATGGTATATAAAAAGAATCTTTATATTTTGAAATATGTAAAGTTAATATATGATTGTAAATTGAAAACATTTTTAGACTTGAAAATGGCTCGACGAGCCAAAATTTATTGTGATGTGTAGTCATTAAGTTGACAAAATTTAAAAATTGGTGTATAATTGGCTGATAATAAATAAACTTGAAAAAAAAATGAAAACATTGATATTCCATTACATTTCCTTGTCGATTCATTTCTATTTCTTTGCTACTTTCAGTATGTTGTTACTGATATTTTATTATTGTTTATTTCATAGTTCTTAACTCTGTAACCCTTATTTTTATTTATTTCATAAGTTCTTAACCTTTTTTACCATTACGTTATATACTCTAATTTTGTTCTACATATTATTATGTTTCTACCGTTCACAAGTTTCTCATATATATATATATATGTATATCTTGTCTTTTCTAAGCCCTGATGAAGGCCTCAGATTTAGACCTTGGGCCGAAACATCAGAAAAAATAAATATAACTTATCTATTTTTCTTTTTTTTATTTGTGACTGCTCACACCAACCAACTTATCTTCATTATATTCACGACAGTCAACTATTAATCAACCATTAAAAAAAAAAAATTATTTCATATTAATCTCACCTTATTGATGTTTTCACTTCTATCGTGTGGTCTTAAGTAAACACTGTAAATTTAAAGTGGGTAAAATCGAAAGGCAAAGCTAGTCTCTTAAATAATGATTAATTCATTGAAAAATAAACTGGTTAGTTTTATTTAATTGATTAAAAAAATAAATTATACAATATAAAATATTCATATAACAAAAATAATTTCATATCATAAATTTATTTTGTTTCATTATTGTTTCATAGTCATTGAGTTATGTCATTTTTAAATCTTGAAGATTTTATCTTCTTTTTTTATAGATATAGAAAGCTACCAATCCTTTACATTTATAGTATTTACTTTTTTTATACATAAAATAATGGTCAGTTATCTAAAATTTGTATTTATAATTCAAAAAGTTTATTTTTTCGCTTATATATTAAAACTATATGTTCTAGCGATAATAATGTTTATGTACAATTAAAGCTGACATAAAAGTCTATACAGATGTAATGATGGCTGGCCAGCTATGTCTATATTCTTAAGTAGATATGAATCTTGCAGGAATTCTGCTTGTCCAAACTCAGTCCTTGCTGCTTCTCTTGCCTGCCATGAGACAGCAGCAGTGCTGTTTGCTTCATTTAATTTAAATTAAATAGAATTGGAACTTGCTGTGTTACCTTAACACCGCTCAACCTCTATAAGACACTAATTAGACCAGTCACAACATATGCATGTGAAATGTAGCCACTTAAGAAATCAGTAGCTTTGAAGGTCGACATCTTTGAACGTAAAATATTAAGGCACATTCTAAGGCCTGTGAGAGGAAATGGGGTATATCAGATTAGAGAACTATACTTCTTATAGAGTGTTATGAAGTTGTCGGGATACAGTGTCTGAAGTGGTTGGGTCACCTCAATAGAATGGAAGGTGGGAGAACACGGGTAGATTATATAGGGTTATCCAGAAGGATTGTGGGCTCGAGCGAGGCCAAGAAGTAGATAGAAGAAGGTCTCAAAAGACCTCCAAAAATTTAACCTGTCTTTAAGACTAGCTGTGGACCAACAGGACTGGGCTAGAGCAATTGAGCACGCCAAGGACCCCCTATTGCATCTGTCATGCCTATGAAGAAGGAGAAGAAGGTGTTGTGAAATAATATAACAATGTGGCCTCAAGAATTCAGAACATTCCAGGCAAAGCATAGTGAAGAAATGAAGAAAATAAAACGATACTATTTCTTCAAGAATTATTTATGGACATTTGGAGAGAACAGCTACCAGCAAAAAACGGTTTGTTGCATACGTAAGTAAGGAGATATAGTTTGTGTAATAATTATAAAGATATTTCTCCTCCTATTAACAATATGGTTAATCATTATTTTTAATAGATTGCTTTCACTGCTGAATACAAGCCGAAGAAATATCAATCTGGGTTCTGAAGAGAGACTTCAATGACAAATCATAGTTTCTAAATATTTATTTTCTAAATAGGGAAATAAATAACTTCATAAAATGTTTATTAAGTTCATAAATATAACTGAGTTCCTTGAAAAATACTCATTATTGATATAGTTTTTAACAATATTTTAGACATTTGGCGCTCCCAGGCAATGTCATCTCCAAAAAATGAAATTGATTTCTTAAGCTGTTTTATATTGAGTAATATTTAAATTTTATTTCAATCAATATGTCTCTAATTCAGTTGCTTTATTGATAGGCTAAAATTAATTCTTCTTATATGTTTTGTTATTTAATTTTTTATTCTTACCAATTCACAGAGGTGAAGTCTGTTGGAAAAGGCAAAGAAACACCTGATACATAATCATCACATGTGACATTCTGCTCAGCGAAGGAGCATATAAGGCAATCATGAAAATCAATTAACCATCCAAATTGGTTCAGCTGATAATAATGATGATGGAGGACAATCTATACTTTGTCACTACAGGAACCGATGTATAGCAGGACGCCAGACCAGTCTAGTATTTAACTTCTGCCTCACACCATTATACCCATGTAAATATACACCATTATAAATGCATGTAATTAAGCAACAGGAACACTTCTTAGCAGGAAAGTCCAAATTTTAGATTTGAATCTTGCAGTTAGGACCCTAAATACTATGAGGGAAGCTTTTCAGGCACTGGAGGAGTCTGCAACTAATTACCAGTGAAGAAGATGAAGGTTCATACGGCAGTATTGATTTAAAAGTGCACAATCCTTCATTTACTCAGGATCCCAGATTAATCAACAGAACAGCTTGGAAGAATAAATCCAAAGAAGGATGCTTATTTTTTCCCCCTAAAATATCTATGAAGTGTTGCATTACACAAGACCTCAAAATAAAGTATATCCAGAACAATAATCCAGCCAGCACTTATGTTGTTTATGTTATGTTATAGCACTTATGTTATGGTTAAACCATAACCACTCAAAATATTGGTCTAACAAAAAATCCAAAAAAATTCTTTCTCGAGGCAAAAGAGAAAACTGGCATTCTATGACTCAACAAGTGGTTCATAGTGCTGAATAGTAGTAATAGCAAAATGATAAAAAATTTCAATAGGATGTACTAATTTGTGAAAATTTAAAGATATTTAAAAAAGAAATAGAACTTAAATAAATAGTTTACTTGGATTAAATTGTTGTAATGTTGTATAATGAAAGAAATAATAAATGATAAATGTTAAATAATCTATTTATTTTATCTGAGTTATCTATTATCTTTTTATTTGTTATTCTATTTTTTCAATAGAAGTTGGAATAATTGAATTTCTAATTTATTTTAGCAAACCTTTTTTAGAATTGCGCAATGGTCTATCTAGTTTATGTAACTTTTTGGATTTCCAATAATACAGTGGTCCGCTATTTTCTAGTGGGGGAAGCTTTGTATGCAAATACTGTCTGATTTACAGGCGGATCTACGAGGGGGGGAGGGAGCTTTTCGGGCTGCAGCCCCCTCCCAAAATGGTAAAATGTAACTATGTTTTACAGAAAAAAAAATTAAAAATTATCTCTTAAAGTATTCTTGTTCGTGTAATTATATTTAATAGAACTTCAAGAACCGCTTAATAAACACCATTTCATATAGGTAATTAATTTTTTTCAAATTTTTTATCGGTATATGTATATGAAAAAAAAATCTTTCGGGCTGAAGCCTCCCCCCAAAATTAAATCCTGGATCCGCTAGTGGTCTGATTTGAGATTGAGCATCAAGTTTACGTAACGTTTTTGAATTCTCAGATATACGGATCCACTATTTTCTAGACATCGGAGCTTTTTATGAATATACTGTCGAATTTAAAATTGTTCGTCGATTTGTTTGTTGATTTTTGGATTTATTAGATATAAGAGTTCACTATTAAGTTGTCAAGGACGCTTTTTATGAAAATAATGTCAGATTAAAGTTTGATCGACAAAAGTGTACAATATTAATATATAAAATGTATCTATCAATTGTTATATAGATAAATATTTATTCCAAAAATGTTCAGTCCCAAAGAGACTTGTTAGTTATCTGTTGACTTAAAATTTATTTTTTCGTTTAATCGCTATTATTTTTATTGAATGAATTAGCTGTGTAATTATTTTTATTCGCAGTTATTTTTCTTGGTAATCCGAAAGTGGGGATTATTGTAGTCATTCGTAAAAAAAAAAATCTTGTTTATTTTCGAGAAAGGAATTAATGTTATCTAATAATTCCGAGATAATGAATAATAGAAATCATCAATTATCGTGAAATAGCATTCAGAGATGTAATAATTAAAGGTTTTTATCTATTACTATTTCTTTTTCACAGATCTATAATATATACACAAGTTCTATTCAGGTTTCACGATGTGTAGCCTAAATTTCGAATGTAAGTCGGCTCTTGCTATAAAACTGAACATGATTAAAGTTATAGAAGTATTTAAAGTCGAGAGGAAAGTTAATAGTCGAGGTCAAAAAAACTACCAATAAAAATTGGTTAATTTAAAAAAAAAAAAAACTGAGTATTCCTGTGAAGAAAAAGAAAAATTCCAGCAGAAGAAATTGGACTGAGAAAAGAAGAGTCAAGCAGTCAGAAAGAATGATCAACTTATTCAAGAAAAGGAAAGAAACCATATTAAATGATTAAGTGATCATTGAAGAACTGTTCAAAAAACAACATACAACTAAATAAATAATGGTAAAGAAATATAGGGTCTCTGAAAAGTAAAGATCTGTTGATAACTAGGAATTTGAAACAATGACAATAATTTTCTTACTTTATAGCAGAATTTTTTTTTTTTTTTTAATTTCTTTATGACATTTACAACTGTATTACATAAATACATCAAGTAAATTTGGACATAATTGATATAATGACATGAATACACTTGCTGAGTAACTACCCAATGGTAG